TACAAGTTTCCTCCTTCCTTTATTTCTTTCATAAAATCAGTCATTGTTATATTGCCACCTGGCTGCATCTTCTTCTTTTTTTCCAACCTTGGTCATTCCTTGGCATTAGAGTTATTTAGCGTCTTCTGGATCCCCAAATTCATGCCCAAATAAGATGCTCTGACCCAGCCTGCCTGCTCTGGCCAGATCCCAAGTCTAAGCACTCCTTATTACCTTCAGGCCCATTCTCTTTGATTGCTGCTAGATGACGGGTCAGCAAATCCAATAACAAAATGGAGCTTTGGGGTAAAGAAAGGGGACACCTATATTGGTAACAATAATAATTGCTCCTCTTTGAGCTCCTATTTTGGCTCTGGCACTGTGCTGGAACTTAATTTACGTTACCTCATTTAAACCTCAGACAGCACAACCAGTCATTAGTAAATAAAGAACACTAAGGCTCCGATAGAATATATAACTTTGCTAAGGTTGGGAGAGAAAAAAGTTTGGGGGGATTCAAACTCATGTAGTTGGATGTTAGACTTGTGGTCTTTTATCTCCCCCTTCTGCTGTTCCCCTAGTAAATGGCTTAATGTATCATTCTTTCCTGTATTGTTTCCGTTTTAACAGAAATCCTCAAAATCTTCACCCAAATGGGTGAATAACAGGGTTACTTCAGACCACCATGGGTAAAATGTTTTTGGAAAGGGAGTTCTTTGAGGCCCCACAGGCTCTCTCAAAAATATAGAATTACCTGCTTTTGATTTCTGCTTGTCAGAATTGAGAGTCATTCTCAATGACTCTAGGATGTTTCCAATTCAAAAATCAATACCCACCTTTCTGTCACATCAAGGCAAAATCAATAGTTCACCCTGGTTAAACTGAATGGTTTTTAAAACTGAGCCCTCATTCCCATGACCTGGTCCCTATCACTACAAGGAACTGAAAAGGTAGTGATTGTGCATGTAAAAATCGATATTGGGCTTGTAAATATGTGGAATTGTTACTTGTAGTGATATTACTGATGATTCAATTCATCTTATTTGTATGAAAACCTTTTCAGTGATCAATTGGGTAAGAACTCGTTCATGATATTCCATCTGGAGTTGAGTTCTGTGGAATCCAATAATTTTTTTAAATCCTAAGAGTGTGGAGAATGCTCATTGACACTGTATGACTCACTGGGTAACAAAAATACCAGGAATGCCTTTGGGTAATTTGAAATTGAGCAAAAGTTAAAGAATTTCATTACTTTGTGGATTACTTTTCTTAAGCAGACAACAGTTGAAATCATAAAGGCCCTGAAAATACCTAAGAGTAATAGCAGGGCATTGACAGATTGAGTTAACCATTCAAATAAACAATGCATATCCTCTTTTCTTCTCACCCAGCTTTGTAACAAGAAGTACCTGCTTTTTAATGAATGGAGAATGCCACCCTTGTCTTCTACTTGATTATACTTTTATTGCTTCTGCGGCTATTTCCCTTTATGGTTCAGGTGAAAGGCTTTCTTTCAGATAAGTGAAAGGGAGAATTTAGAAAGTAGAAGGTCTGCAAGGCTATTATGTAGATCTTTGTTTCTCCAACTTGGACTTTCAGAAACAAAGAAGCAGTTGCCCCAGCACAGGACCGATGGCCACTTGACTTTTTGGTTGATAATCAGAATATTCTCTGGTCCTTCTCCCTCCTGCCTGTTGTCAATAGCTGGTTGCATTGTGTAGCTCCCCACACCACCCAGTGAGTCCACCCTGCCACCCTTCCCGACTGTCCTTCCCCATGGCATCTCCTCCAACTTGGGAACCAGGCTGCCTTGTGCTGTTATCATCCTACCCTCACCACTCATGGGCTGGGAAACTCTTGGAAAACACCTTACTCTGACTGAGGCCCATTTTCCTCTCTTACCTATTATTAAGGATATCAACTAAGCAAGTTGACATCAACTGCATAAGTACCCAGCAACATGCCATGAGCATAGTAAGCATTCCACAGTTGCGAGTCCCTTCCTGTCAGCCCCTTCTCACCGTAGAGTTTCTCTGAGCATGTGCACTTTGGGGAATGAGGTCATAGAGGAGTACTTGGGTTGTGAGAGGGAATCGGACATTTGCGCACAGTTCCAGGTCTTTTGACTGTGCTTAGACTAACTTAATTCCAAAACTTGACAGGTAACAGAAACAGAACTAAATAAACTCAGCTTGTTGAAGGCTTTTTATCCCAACCACTGCCTTGAGTCTGTTTCAGAGAAGACCAATCAAGATGCCGAAGAGTCATTATCCTGCCCAGTTATCTCTGGGCCCATGTTGTCACGGTAGCAGTGTCTCCAAAACAACAACAACAACAAAAATACTGAAAGATTTGTCAATTCTGAGTGACTAATTTGACTCATATTTGCCAAGAGCTAGGTTTCCACATTTTTTAATAGACCTTTTCCATCACTGTCTCTCCTTCTTGTGCCTGTGGCTGGGGAAAGAGGGCGACTCCCCTCAGGCCTGGGCTCCTCTTGGTTCTGCAATTCTTCTGCAAGTTTTCCTAAGACATCAGGCTCCCCCAGCTTCCTTGTGAAGCCAACAGGTTCTCAGCAGCCTTTCTGTCAGTGCGCTTTCATAACCACTTTGTCTGGGCTTGCTGAGGAAGCATTCCAGGGCTAGTGCTATGAGAGCATTTTCTAGTTTCAGCATGTAAGGTGCTCAGTACATTATTCTTAGTCTCTCAGAATCCTTCAAAGAATATAAGAAAGAAGGTGAATTTATAATCCAGGGGTCAAATCTGATGCAAAGACATTTATTTTTCCTCTTACTTGTACACACAGTATTTGTCCTACAACATATTATATTGTTTATACAGCAAAGTTGAAAAAATTTTATAGTGAACCCTCATTTCTCACCTCCACACTTCAACCATTAACATTTTACTCTACTTGCTTTATCGCATATCTATCTACCTATCAGTCCTTATTTTTATGCATTCCAAAGTAATTTACAGACTTCAGTACACTTTCTCCTAAACATTTCAGTATGCTAGAGTTCAATGAGAAATGTACACATCTGCGATTTGCATTTGCTTACTTAATGCATACACCAATAAAACCCAAACCCCCATCAGTAGAACATTATCATTCCCAGAAAGTTCCTCACTCCCCTTCCCATTCAGTCCCATCTGCAGAAGCAACCACGCTTGTGAATTTTTTCCACAAGATTGGTTTGGTCTATTCCAGAAAGTCATATACATGGAATTCTTAGTATGTTCTTTTTGTATAAGACTTTCACTCACTGTAATGTTTGTGTGATAGAGCCTTGTCATTACATGCATCCATAATGGTTCCTGAGTAATATTGCTGAGTAATATTACATCCTATGAATATACTACAGTTTATCCTTCTGTTGATGAACACTTGGCCTGCTTCCCGCTCTGTGGCTCTCATGAGAACAATGCTGTGCACGTCTGGGGTAAATGCCTAGGAAGAGACTTTGTGAGTCATAGAATAGGTGTATGTTTAGTTTTATTTAAAAAATTGCCAAAACTTGTTTCCAAAATAATTATACCGTATACACTCCTACTGGTAATCCAGTAGCTCAAAATCTTGGCCACCATTAGGTGTTATCAGTCTTAGCCATCTGGTAGGTGTATAGTGGTATCGAATTGTGGTTTTAATTTAGAGTCCCCTGGTGACTGGTAAAGCACTGTATCATTACATGGTTCTTTTCCTGAAAATGTTAACATGCCATCATTTTAAAAACCAAGTGTTTTCACACAAGAATCCAGATACCCAGTTTTTCATGAAACATTAAAGAACTTAGCAACACTGGCTTGTATTCCCATGTGGAGACAATCAACAGAAGCTGAGTGGTGGCTGTTGTTCCTTTAGGACAGTTGCCCTTTTGTTCCCCAGAGTCCCTTGCCCTTCCCATAACTCCCCAATACTTAGTTAGGCCAATTGTCATACATCATCACATTTGTGGTATTGTCTTCCTTCATGTTAAAAGAAAGTGAGTTCTTCCTTGAACCCATGATATTATCAATACTGGAAAAGTGAAAGGTAGATTAAGAGGGCCTTATATTTTTTAAAAAAATGCATAGAATACATCTCTGTGTCAATGAAAAAAAATATTTCTACAATGCTTAATAAGTAAATTAAATGGGCCGATTTTGAAAGATTACAATTGGAGGCTTCATAATGAAACTTCCCGGCTTTATTCATTTTTATTATCTGCCTGGCCCCTTTAGGATTTGGAGTTTGCAACCCCTATAATAGAATACTTACATTGATAAATTATGTCTCAAGATTGCCTTCACATGGGGTTATTTAACTATGTAGAAAGATCTAATTTCATATCCTTTTATTGAAATGGGGGGGAGGGGAGAGACACTCCAATAATACTTTATTTAAAACTAGAGGCCCAGCCGAAACTGGTTTGGCTCAGTGATAGAGTGTTGGACTGAAAGGTTCCAGGTTCAATTCCGGTCAAGGGCATGTACATTGGTTGCGGGCACATCCCCGGTAGGAGGTATGCAAGAGGTAGCTGGTCGACATTTCTCTCTCATCAACGTTTCTAGCTCTCTATTCCTCTCTCCTCCTCTCTGTAAAAAATCAATGAAATATATTTTAGAAATAAAATAAAATAAAATAAAATAAAATAAAATAAAATAAAATAAAATAAAACTAGAGGCCCAGTGCATGAATGTCATGCACTGGGGGAGGGAGGGTCTCTCAGCTGGGCCTTCACCCTCTTCCAGTCGAGGACTCCTGATGGGACCCCACTGCCACTGCACTTGCCAGCCATGAACCTGGCTTCTGGCTGAGCAGTTCTTCTCCTGTGGGAGCACACTGACCACCAAGGGGCAGCTCCTTCATTGAGCGTCTGCCTCCTGGTGGTCAGTGCACATCATAGCCACTGGTTGTTCCATAGTTCAGTCGATTTACATATTAGGGTTTTATTAGGATAATTCATGTGTTATAAAACATTGAGACTAAAAAAAATTTTTTTTCACTTTCTCTAATTCTGTAATTTTGCCTTTAATTCCAGGACTGTAAGTGGAAAATGTATATGGAGATAGATGGGGATGAAATTGCAATAACCTACATCAAAGACGTGACATTCAACACCAACCTACCTGATGCAGAGATTTTAAAGATGACAAAGGTAGGATTCTATTTACGGCTTAAAAGCTTTTTATGAATTCACATATATCAAACAAAGACATTAAAATACCCCAGCAGTGTGCTTTTGTGCTGTTGATGCTCTCACATCAGCTGAGCCTCAAGCTGACTGCTGAAAGGCACATTTTATTTAGCAGATTGAGATCATAATAGTTTTTTGTTAAAATTTCACTTATGCTGTGTGAGCTAAAAAGTATTACAGAAGGTGTCATTTAAATTTTTTCCTACATTTCTTTATGCTCATTCTGTCATTTACCAAAGGAAAGAAAATGCTAAAGATGAAAATATTTACCTCAAATTTTGGCTCATTTTAAACTTTGGAAAAGTTGCGAGGAGGAAGGTGTTCTTGGTTGTGCTCAGTTTCTTGAAGGGCAGCAACGAGCTTAGTCACGAGGCATGTGCTGAAGTCTTCACAGCTCCTTGAAGTTCACACCTATGAATCCCTGGAGAGGCCAGAGAGCATGTTCCTGCTTTAGGGTCAGTGGTAGCAGCCTGCCCATTGAAACACTTAAAAAAGACTTAAAGAAATGCTTAGCTTCTCATAAAATAAAATAAAATAAAATAAAATAAAACAAAATACTGTCAAATCTCAGAGGGAAGAAAGGGTGGGTGGATGGGAAGAGATTAACCAAAGAACTTGCATGCATATATGCATAATCCATGGACACAGACAATAGAATGGTAAAGGCCTGGGGTGGCGGAGGGGAGGCCATGCTAGAAGGGGTTAATGGGAGGAAAAAGGGACAACTGTAATACTTTCAACAATAAAGGTTTTTTTTAAAGACTCAATAAATAAAGAAGTTGGGGGGGAAATATTCAACTCTATCCCAATCACACTAAAAAAATATATATATGAGGCTTAAATTGTAGAAGGTCAACAACAGTCATGGTATCCATAAGACTGTCACCCTGAACTTCACATGTGCCATTAATCCTCATACACTCTTGCCAGTAAGTGTGTGTTTGGTGTTAGTGGAGGAAATGGGGTTGGTAGCAAAGAAAAACGTGGGAAGTGAAAAGTCTTCAAAACCACATCATTAGACTTGCAAATATGTTCCCTTCCCAGGCATCACATTGCTAAACTCCCATATCCTTTTAATTTAAAATTGCTACCCTCACGAGATCATCCAGTAGGTTGATTTGCTATTCATTGTTGGATTTCCCTGAGTAGTAGAGTTGTTTCAATGGTGTTATTTACCTGTAAAGGTTATGATCTGGTTGCAAGTTTATTTTGTTGGGCCATATTGCTGTGACAGCTTGAAGACTGGACAGGTACTTCTTTTCTTCCTACCTGTGCACTCTGGTTGCAGCAGTTGTTCACTGCTTCAGTGTCACTTAGGATCCAAGCCATTGCCACTAAGGGAAGGAAGGTGTTCAGGGCAGAGAGACCAGTGTGGAGGTGTTAAATCAAATACAAGTGTTTCTGCTATAATGCCACATATGCATTCCTGATGAACCACATTGTCTGCAAAAATCACATGCCAGCATTAATAGGGCTTTTAGGGAAAGTAGAATTGGGGCAGAACACTCAAAATATGTAAAATTTTTTAACACAATCAGAAACAACAAAAATTCTAATCAAAACAACAACAAGAAGAACAAACAAAAAACCCACTAGCCCAGTTAAATCTCAGCTGCATTTGCTTTGCACCCAGGTCACAGACCCCTGGGATGAAGGGAGGTTAAGGGGAGGAGAAGAAAGAGATTAATTTCTAATAATAACCATTTTCATCAAAATTAAAATAGGATCCAAGGCGTACACTTCTTCATTGATCCTTTGTTTTAATACAGTGGGAAATGTCTCCACCATCTCATTTGCATGCACAGCTTTGCCAATAGCCTAATATAGGGGAGAGCAGAGAGGTTGTTGCAGCCACTGAACTGGCCACTGCTGAAGGAAGGTACTGCCCAGTCTTATATTATTAAGGATTTCTCTTCATTGTGAGAAAGTTTTCTGCTGATGCTTCAAAATATTAGCATGAATGAATGACCTAATGATAGGATTGAGTGATATATCAGAAAAGAGAAGATTGTGGGAGATCAGAACTGGATGTTTGTAAACATATGAAAGGATGTCTTATAAAAACCAAACCCCATACACTAGCGTGCTATGAGTAATCACATATGAAACAGTGCAACTTCCATGCTAACCTCACATTATGCCCCCTTTTGCCAATTGTGTCTCAAGGGAAAATGCTGTAGCAGAACAGGCTGTACCATTGCCCTACTCTGGCCTAACTTTTGTTTTTCAGCCCCCCTTTGTAATGGAGAAGTGGGTTGTAGGAATAACAGAAAATCAGACTGTAGAATGTACCGTCACATATGAGGTAAGCGTGGGACGGGGATGGGGTGAGGTGGAGGGGTCGAGGAGCTGTAATCTCAATAGGAATCTCAATAGGAATTTATTTGCTCCCTCGGAGTGCTTAACGTTTATTGGATGAGAAACTATTGAACTAATGTAAATATGGGAAGATCAATATAATTACTCCAACAAAGTGTTGGGGAGGAAAGAGAATAGGATACACTTTCCTAGATAGAGACTGAGGTAGTCATTTATTCATTCATTCATTCATTCATTCATCAGTTAATGTGTGAGCACCTCCTACATGCCACATAATGTGTTATGTACTGGGGATGCCAGTGAATAAAACAGAGTGCTTAGAGTTTAGGGGTAAGAGTAGATCCGTAATTCTTCACAAGGATAGACTCAACTTCAACTATCTTCCAGAAGTGGGGGGGAGGAGGAGGTTATTATCAAAAGCATATTCCATAGATTTTATATACAGAAAATTACAATAACTTACACTAAAAAATATACCATTGAAGTTGAAATTCATATATTTAACAAATGCCTACTGACAAGTATTGTTCTGTGATTAGGATAAACTAACTCTGTAGTCTGTTGAGTTTTATATTCCAGTGGGGGAGGGCGGAGATGGAGGATAAATAAGTAGCAAATAAACAAGTGATGTCAGGGAGTGATAAGTGCTAACCAGAACATAGTGAGACTCAGACATGAGATTGTGTGACCAGGGAAGGCCGCTTCTCTGAGGAGGAGGAAGAAGCAAGAAACACCAGAGGAAAGACAAGCGTAAGTTCCTGAGGCACAGAGGGCAATGACAAAGCTAGAGAGGTAGGCGGGCTGGAGCATGCAGTCTCATGGCCAAAGGGAAGAGTTGGATTTACTCTCAGCACAGTGGGGAAGCCAAGTGCTTAAGATAATCTAATTATGTTTTGAAAATTAGCAACAAGTCATGGCTGATGGGACGTACAAAGTAGAGAAACCCTGGGGGACTAGAGCCGAGGGGACCAGTTATAGCCCCAAGTCTTGACACACATGGAGATATTGGTACGCATCTTCCATCAGTATGTTGTGCATTTCATGCATTCATTCAAGAGCATTCAGTAAGGATTTACTATATGACCTACGCACTGGAAGAGGAGTTGACACATTTTAGCTCATCGATCTTGTGTAAAAACTGAAAGACAGGTAGCATTGTCTTCACTTAGCGGCTAAGGAAGATAGACTGGGAGAGATGGAAGGTAGTCCCAGGTTTGAAGTTGTCCGTGTCTTTGTGTGTGGAGTCCCACCAGGTCCTCTGACTATAAACACAGTGTCCACTCGTCCTCAGCTGTCCCTTCTGTTCCCTTCCCAGCAGTAAGACGTAGGAGTTAGCCTCCACGTGCTCTCCATGCCCTAACCCAGTGGTCGGCAAACTCATTAGTCAACAGAGCCAAATATCAACAGTACAACGATTGAAATTTCTTTTGAGAGCCAAATTTTTTAAACTTGAACTTCTTTTAATGCCACTTCCTCAAAATAGACTCGCCCAGGCCATGGTATTTTGTGGAAGAGCCACACTCAAGGGGCCAAAGAGCCGTATGTGGTTCGAGAGCCGCAGTTTGCTAACCACGGCACTAGCACATTAGGATGGTCTTCTGAACCATCTAGGTCTGGCTTTTCAACATTAGAATCCAAACCCTAGCCAGTTCCCTGCCCCAGTGCTGGAAGCCAATAGACTTACAGCAGCTATGTGTCCTCACCAGCCAGGGTGCATAGAGTCCCAGGGATGAGGCGCTTGAGAAATAGCATTAATTGTCAAAGTGTCGCTTGCAGGACACAAAACCTAAGAACAAAGGTTGATTGGTCTTGAGGAACTTGGAATCTAGACTATTCTGGAGCCTGTTGACCAGTCCCCACCCCACCAATGAGGAAAACCCTCTTTTTACTCTCTAGACCAGTGTTTTCCAAACTTTTGAAATATGTGTACCCCTTCTATAATTTTCGTAATGCTGAGTATCCCTCGTACTCATGAGAATGTAGAATTAGGCGCAGCTAAGCACGTGCATATCCCCACCAAACTCCGGTGCAACACATACCCCCACCAAACTCTTCCTGTACTCCTGGGGGTATGTGTACCACACTTTGGGAAACACTGACAGTAATACTATCGATAGCTAGACTTCTCTGCCTTTCTTAGTCAGTAAGGAGACACACTACACCAGATTCTTCTCCTTCTGTCCTCTTTCTCCTTCCTCTCAGACCCCATGCTGAAAAGCCACTGGCATTTGTAACAGTCACTTAGGGGCTCTTTAAACACCTTTTTGTAACCTTATTGAATCCTGAGAGGCTCCTGAATCCTGCTTCATGACACCTGGTGAGTAGGGAAGTTTTGGAACAAGAAAGTGCTGTGTCTTGATCTGGTGTCTTCTTCTTTTCCAAATTCTTGGTATGGACTCTATCCTCTCTCCCTTTTGTATCTGTTACCCTGCACCTTCCATAGAGTAATTAGTCCCACCAAACTACCCACACTCACCCAGTTACCCTGCTGATCAGAGGCAGGCAAGCAAAATGGTGGTCAGATTTTTATTTATTCAGCAAAATGTCAGCAAAATGTCAGCTTTCAAGAACTATAAAGACAAGAAATTGTTGTTTTCATTTCTTATTTAAAAAGAAGTAAGTTGAGATTGGCCAAATATAATAAATTCTGAGAGAAGACAGCCACATTTTTAATGACTATACTCCACTAAGGAATAAAGTGCTATCATCTGGAATAAAGTGGTTAAAATGTGTCTTTTAATCAAATTATCACATTTAAGCAAACTATAAATATTTCACCTAATGCATTTATTATAGTGTTCTAAGAAGTTAAACTGAAGTGATATGATAACCTGATTTTCTTTCCTTCCTATTTTATTAACGTGTATATTTGGTTATGGGTTTCATTTTTTTTTTTTTTTTTTTTTTTTACAGAGTGATGTTAGAACTCCCAAAAGCACCAAGCATATTCATCCCATCCAGTGGAATAGAACGAAGCCTCAGGATGAAGTGAAAGCCGTCCAACTTGCCATTCAGACACTATTCCCCAACTCAGAGGGCAATCCTGGAAGCAGGTCTAATTCAAGTAAGTTAGGCGTGCACTAGACCAGACTCCAAACCCTTAGGTACCAAGTCCTCAGGACAGGGACAGGTGCCACTCTGTGAATAGATAATAGCTCTCTAATATAATATTTCCTTCTATTTTTTAAAATATATTTTTATTAATTTCAGAGATGAAGGGAGAGAGAGAGAGAAAGATAGAAACATCAATGATGAGCGAGAATCATTGATTGGCTGCCTCCTGCACAACCTCCACTGGGGACCAAGCCCACAACTCAGGCATATGCCCTTGACTGGAATCAAACCTGGGACCTTTCAGTCCACAGGGCGACACTCTATCCACTGAGCCAAACCAGCTAAGGCCCTTCTTCTATTTTTTGAATATTTGTTTTGAATAGTATTTATAGACTTACAGATATGAGCATATTATAATAAACTTCAATATTTCGATAACTATGATAAAACATGAAAATTAATGACAATGTTATATTGCTAAAAAAAGTAAGTATATCTATTTCTACACACATATATTTTGTTTTCAAAATTGTAGATAAAGATATGAATCTTCTATGTCCAACAAACATTCTTATGAAGCTACTGCTATCACTGGGGCAACTTCCTGAGTCCTGAATAGCATACATACATCAAAGCATAGGAATGACACGAGGAAGGAGGGAAAGAGAGCTGGAGGGAGGAAGGGACAGAGGAAAGGAAGGAGCAGGAAAACAAAGGCAAGAGAGGATAGAGGAAAAGAAAACATGATATGCATATAATGGACAGTGATGATGGTAATTATAGATGATATAAAGAAACAATTTAGAAATAACCTGGAGGAAGGCCCAGATAGTAAATTAGTAAATTAGTCATCAATCAGAGGTTCTGACTGTCACCTTGGTGGGTCCAGAAACTCAAATACAGCCCAGAGCTATGTTCCATAGGACTGTGACAAGCTAAAAAGCAAATGGGGGGGTGGATGCATAAACCCATGCAATTCGGTTTTTATCGTGAGAAATATACCTGCAAACAAACCAGAAATGCATGTTTTCTGATCAGTGCATTCTTCCTTAGTAAGAAAATCTACCTGAAAAGCCATATCAGAAGGTGTTTTGTTGGTATGAAGACAAAGGACCCTGAGGGCTAGTGTCACAGAGTTATGAGGGCCTGGCTACATGTCTTCTACTATAAGGACTGGCTTGTCAACCAGCCCCGATATTTTTACAGATGCACCAACCAGAAGGCCCAGAATCCTGGACAGTAAGCCAAACTCCCCAACAAATACTTGGATAGCATGCTGGACCTGCCTTCCTCTGTCAACACAGTTGATTGGGTTATTTTCTTTCACAATTGATCACAAGAAGATATTCTGATCATCGGGATGGGGGAGCTTGAGTTTTTACCTGCCTTCTTAGCCAGAAATGCATCTTCAAACATCTCCTAGGGCATGCTGTCTCTACATGACTAACCTCACATTGTAAGTGTTGACCCTCACTAGCTTCTCTACAGAAGGAATTCTACGTTCTTTCATTTGCTAATTCAACAATCTTGTGTTGCATGCAAATACTATCAAGCCTTTAAGGACTTCTTACTATAACAATTTTCCCCTTCCAAACAATATTTTAAGGCACATTTTACTTCTGTAGGACTGTCATAGTCATGATCCCACTTGATGCATGCAACACCTTTGATCCATACAACACCCCACCCTTGAAATCTGTAGGGATCTTCTCTCTCCACATCTGCTGTAGTTTTCTCTTTTCTTTTCTTAATATATTTTTTACTGATTTCAGAGAGAAAGGAAGAGGGATAGAGAGACAGAACCATCAATGATGAGAGAGAATCATTGATCGCTGGCTCCTGCACGCCCCCTACTGGGGATGGCGTCCACAGCCTGGGCATGTGCTCTTGGTGGGAATTGAACCTAGGACCCTTCAAAGGGAAGCTACTTGCTGGCACAGAGAAGTGAGCATCCTCTGTTTTTGTCAGAAGCTCCACCAGGAGCTCAGGGAGGGCCACCAGGGAACTCAAGAATGTGGGCAACGTAGTGCGGGCCCCTGGAGAAGACAGGAGAGATCCCAGGTGTGAGAAACTTGCTTATTTACTAAAATATAGCCTACAAAATGGTTCTTGTTAATTGACCATTTTCTTTTACCTTAACCTTTCCTATTTGCTTCATTTCCATGCAATAAATAAATAAATAAATAAATAAATAAATAAATAAATAATTTTCTTATTCCTGAACTTCAGGAATCTCTCCTCTGGAGATAAGAACTGTCTTTCTTCCAAACAATCTCTAGCTGTCTCCTATTGGAATCCAATTTCTTTTTACCTGCAGAATTCTTGAGGACTTAAAAGTGCTCGCTGAGAAAAAGCTTTTTGTTTTCTAAATATGCCCCTGCCATCCAAACATACTCACACAGTGTTTTCAGAAGTGAGAACAAGGCTAAGTGGGAAGAAGATGGGATTTAGATGCAGAAGGGCCACGAATTAGTAGCTGAGTGGCTTTGGGCTAGTTATTTATTTCCCAAACTTGCCCTTCCTTTATGGAATAAGATTATTAGTATTTATTTGCCTGAAAAGAATAGTGAGATGATTAAATGAAATAAAATAAATAAAGCATATGGAACAATGACAAGCATATAGCATATAAGTGTAAAAATATAGTGTAAAGTAAGGCCTTTAATTTTTTTAAAAAAACATATCCTATATAATAAAAGCCTAATATGCTAAGTGACCAGTCAGCCAGTCAGCTGTTCAACCAATCAAAGCATAATATGCTAATGATGTGCTACAGCTACTCAATGCTTGCTATGACATGCACTGACCACCAGGGAGCAGACAGTCAACTGGTTGACCAGTCACTATGACATGCACTGACCACCAGGAGGTAGATGCAACTGGGAGATTAGTTTGCTGTTGGGGTCTGGTGGATCCGGACTGAGGGAGAAAGGCTGGACATGCCCCGGAGTTCTCCTGTGGTGCCTCCCCAGCTCTGATTGTGCACCAGTGGGGTCCTTCTGCCTGGCCCGCACCTTCTCACAATCCAGGACCCCTGGGGGGTGGGGGGATGTCAGAGAGCCGGTTTTGGCCTGATCCTGCAGACTAGGCCAAATTCGTGCACCAGGCCTCTAGTTTATAATAATAAAGGAAATGTCCTTATACCCAGCCTAGAATGTCTATGAATGGTAAAGCTTAGAGAGCATCCCAGGCTTGCATCATCCAGAGACAGGCCGAGGAGTTAGGCAGTGCAGCGTTGCTGTGGCTTAAGAGATGCTCACTTCCCTTTCTCTCCCAGATGCCGACTGCCAGTGGTTAGACATCCTGCGCATGCGGCAGATCGCCTCCAACACCGGTTTACAGCGCTCCCAGAGCAACCCCATCCTGGGGTCGCCCTTCTTCCCCTACTTCAACGACCAGGATTCCTACGCTGCTGCCGTGAGGCGGACCCAGGTGCCCATTAAGTACCAACAGATTACCCCCATAAACCAGTCCAGGAGCTCCTCCCCGACCCAGTACGGGCTCTCCAGGAACTTCTCTTCTCTGCACCTCAACTCCAGGGACAGCGGCTTTGCCAGCCTGGCCCGCGACAGCTCTTTGGAGCGGGGCCCCTCCTCCTTGGGCAGAAGCCGGAACAAGTACGAGCAGCGCGGGAGCGCGTCGCTCAGCTCCTCCCCCAGGGGGCGCTACGGCGGGAAGGGCGCGCGCTCCACGCCGTCCAGGGAGCGCAGCGCCGGCAAGTTCTACCGCGTCCACCGGTCCGCGCTCAGCGCGCATCAGTCCCCTGACTTCAGGCGAAGCCCCAACGACCGCCCCCAGCGCCGGACCATCCCAGGGATGCCTCTGCACCCCGAGCCGGACTCGGGAGGCGCCGGCGAAGAGGAGAGCAAGGGCGGCGAGGGCGGGTGGACCAAGGTGGAATATCGAAAGAAGCCCCACAGGCCGTCCCCTGCCAAGACCAGCAGAGAGAGAGCCCGAGGAAGCTACCGCGGGAGGAGAACCTTCTGATGAGTGGATGAGTTTTCTTCCCCAAGCAAGCTTTAAAAAAAAATAAAATTAAATTAATGGATTTTCATAATATGATGCCTTCAGATAGAACTGACAAGAAGACCACTTTTCCATTTTGGGGGGGATTTGGGAAAAACGTTCTTATTGAAACTACTGCCAAACCAGACCCTAAACTATGGATGTTGGTAGACCAAGGATAGTCACTAGACTCAATCACAATGTACTTATTTTTTCCAAAAAAAATTAACATTTTCAGAGAAGGGGATATTACTGCCATCGTATTACCCTAACCCTTGCTGGCCTGGTTAGCAAGGACCTGCACTGGCATGAGGTTAACTGGGGCACTCGTCTTGGGTGCAGAATTTAAGGGAGCACCACCCCAAAGCTCAACAATCAAGAGAAATAAGGTGTTCATGCAATACTTAAATAAATGAAAATTAATGCAAAAAATATGCAATAAAAAAAAATCAAAATCCTAGATAAAGACAGAATCAATATTAATGATTTTTCTTTTTTGTCTAAGGCTCCAATATGGCTTGACAAGGTGCTGCTACTGATCTTGTCTTTATTTAAAATTTTGATTTTTTTTCAACATGATTTTTTTGGCATTAATTTTCTTTTCTTTTTATTTTATTTTTTTAATATAATGTATCTTGATTATTGAGCTGTTCGGTTTTGAGGGGGTTTTTGTTGTTGTTTAACGACCCCTTAAATTTTGTGCCTAAGGCAAGTGCCTCACTTGCTTCATCCTAGTCTCAACACTACTGGTTAGTATTTATTTTAGTGAGATATTTGGGTTTTTATTATGGTTAGAGCTGAACTGATTTAGGCTGTCATTTTTAGGCAATAAAAGAATGTTATTGAGCTTAATGTTGATTACGATGCATATCTCATTCATTAAGACTCATCAGAAACCAAAGATCTAGGAGATTTGTGGTTCTTTTCCTAAGCAACTGGAGGCTTTTGAATATTTTTCCCCCCAACATTTTATCAAAGGAGGAGCCAAAGAGGGAAACTTGGCATGTCAGAAACCTAAAATCTGTAAGGAAACCGACACAGAGCAGGATAATAATGTCACAAGCTAAGAGCCAGAGAAACTTAAAATTACCAACATCCTTGTTCCAGCAACACTATCTTTGCAGCAAGAAAGTGCTAAGCAGCTGGGGTCAAAGAGGTAACACTGTGCCGGTGTGAGAAAACTGCCTGCCATTTAGGATGGGAATTGTTGATCCAACTTGTGAAATTTTACAAACCAAAAAGGCTGGGGCTGGGGGGTGGGGGAGGGAGGAGAGGGCTGGGGTGCGCAAAAAATTTATTATGTGTCAAATAAATTAATGTCACTCAATATATTCTGAGATTCTGTTCAACATTCACTCACCCTAAATATCAAGTGTCCCTGGCCATGCACAGGATTTGCCATGCCCTGCAGAAATCCTGATGACACCCTGGTAATGACGAGGGGTTCAGTCCTCTTTGAAGAGAAATGAGTCATCGAGTACATGCGTACATTATTCCCAGAGTGGCTGCCCTGCTCTAATCCAGTGCTCAGACCCGGTGGGGAAAACTGTATTTGGGTAGTATTCAAGTCAAGGTTGTAGGAAATGGCCTTTATTTATGAGGGAAAGCTGTGATCTAAACATTGCTTCAACAACTTGATTTTATAAGTCATATTGTTTGCCATCTGCATTTACAAGCAAAAGCAATGGGAAATGGTGAAGTCAAATAGCGAGGCACTCTTTTCCATCTTGGATGTCTTCACTAAGGCTTAAAGCTCCCTTTGGATCCTTCCTCACTAAGCTTATCTCAACCACAGTTTTTAGTTACGTTTCCCATTGTTCCTGTTTAAATGTAAAGAAAAGTGGACTAATACAAAGTATGCTATCTTAACGGTATGCTACAAGGATTACTTCAGATATAATATAAATTGAAAATTGTTTTCAACCAAGTCATGAATTTCGTTCAAATGCAATAAAATATTTTCTTTGACTAGAATTTTTGGTAAGTAGCTGAGCACAGGGTCTTAACTGAGTCACTCTGAAAGGAACACAAAACACGGTTTTAACTACTAAACAAAAATGTGAATTCTGGGGAATTATTTAAAACTAGTTTAAAAGGCACTGTAAGTGATTGCTGGTTTTCCTTCTTGCCTTTCTTCAGCCATGGGTTAGAGAGTCCCACCTGGTAGTAAAATTACTTAGTGACCTCGGCCCTGTTTAGTGTAGCAGCCAGTCACAAAGAGGTTATTCCAACAATCCACACAACTGGACACTTTGTAATATCTCATGGGAAAATTCTTGTCAGCATCAATGCTCTCCGCCAAAACCAAAATAAGAACATCTAGAGTCTGCTTATTGGTTGTAAAAATAATAATAAGATTAGTTGTAAAAATAACATAAGATTTGGATGTTCTGCCATGGCCCAAGTTGCTCAATGGTTAGGGTGTTAGCCCAGTCAAAAGCACATACCTGGGTTGCAAGTTCAACCCCAGCTCCAGTTGATGTGTCTCTCACATGGATGTTTCTCTCTCTTTCTCAATTTCTCTCTCTCTCTCCCTCTACCCTCTCTCTCTCTCTCAAGCTCAATAAATAATAAACAAGAACTAACCCAAACAATTACATAATCCTAAATATGTAAAGGAAAACATTTTATCGAGTGTTATTTATCAAGGATTACTTCAGATATAATATAAATTGAAAATTGTTTTCAACCAAGTCATGAATTTCGTTCATAAAGTAATAAAAGTAAGCTGCAATGTTTTAAATTGTGCACAGTAAAATTTAGAAGAGGAAAATCTGACCTGGGAATAATCAGAATAAAAACAATGGGCACACACAAAACCTCTTAGTGGCACAATGATAATTGGTCTGAACAAAAGAAAATTTGATATATGAAAATCTTCATTGTAAAATTTAAATTGAAAAGAACTGACTTCACAGGAAGAAAATTAGTACAATAAAAATGTAATATGAAAAAGAGAAACTATTATGTTGGGTAGAGAATCAGGAAATTAAATTGACGTAATGGCATTCACTCCATGAAATTCTTTCTTGACAAAAATAGTTATATAGTTCTGCTTAAAAAAATTTTTCCCATGGATATAGGTCAAAACAGCAAGATCAGAACATCCAGTGGTTTAAAATAATGACAGGGTCAGAACATTTTGGCCACAGCTCAGGGCATCCTGACTTAACTGCAACTGTTTCTGTTTAGAATTACCAAATATTGCATGTCTTCTAATTGCCTTCTTTGTAACTTTCTATTTCACCTCAACAAGTTGGTACAGCTATGGCATGCATCTGACACACTGGCTCTCAGAAACTACTCAGTTATAAGATGCCATGACTTATGTTGTGCCAACTTGTTCATTGAAATTTTGAATTGTAGACACTGTATTCAGGAGGCTTATAAAAAATCTCTTGCCATTGTTGGATTTGAGAAGCTACAATTAAGCCAAGATGCCTTGAGGAATTCAGAGCATAAGACCTGGAGCCTGTTCTATCTTCTATTACTGGAATTGGTTTATGAGACTGCAGACATAGAATAAGTGCCAAGTTCATGGTCAAAATTGTCAAGGCGTTAGTGTTGCAGGTACCAGTGACTTCTTACTCAATTACCCTTTCCCTTTGAGTAATCAGCTGGTCAAATACTACGTGGCCAAAGCAAGAGAGTTAAAAAATGAAAGCAACTTATGACCTCATAGTTCATTCAAAACTAAAATCAGAATGTACTCTTCTTAACGGATGTTCCATTTACTCAGCTGTCACAAAGAGTTTCCTTCCCTATAATCCTAGATGAATCTCACTCAGCTCTCAGGATGCAGCTGACATCTGCTTCCCTGAAGGCCTCCCTTAGTTCCAGCCACTTTCTCCACTGTCCTCCTCTTGGGAACCTTTTGCCACACGCTCCCTTGCACCATTACTCAACTCTTGCCATCCCCCTCCTCTGCAAGTTGTGAGAACAGAGCAGTGATGTCCACAAAATTGACAATAGGAAAAGAAGACTAAGTCCCAAGAATTCATGGATGGACTGGCCACAACTCTGCAATACCTCTCAGGCCTGAGAAACATTTGTAAGTCAGATGGGGGAGCTATGAAACAATCCAAAGAGAGCCTGGGTCTTTTAGAGGCAGTGCCAGGGTTGCAGGTGGGTTTGGGGAACAGCCAGGAGTGTCAGCCTTGGAAGCCCAGAATAAGGTTATCCACAAAGGAAAAGGTTAGCTGCACTATCCACACCAGATCTTCATGGACGGGATAGTCATGAAGGTTTATGCACAGTCTTGTCCAGCAGAGCTCCTCCCAAACTGACTTGAGAATCTACCCAGTCGCAGAGAGGTAAACCTATTGTGGAGATTGTCACGTCATCCAGCTCCTGTTACCTTTTCTGCATCTCCATTTGCCTCTCCTCATAGCAATCAAACATCACACTACAGCCCCACTAAATTCGCTACCGTGCCTTCTCTTGTCTCCAAAACTTTTATTCCCTCCATCAAGCTTCCCCTACATCGTCTGACTAAGTCATCCCTCAGCTCTCTGCTAAGATATCCTGACCTCCAGGAAACCTTCCCTGTTCCCCACCCAGCTCTGGGGCAGGCCCTTCCTGATGTGTTCAAATAGAACCTTCTGTTTCAATCATATGTCTCCCCCTTTGTTATCATGGTCACAAAATTTGCTTGTCTGTATTCCTCACCTGATTGCCAGATCCATGAAGGCAGGCACTATGCCTATCTTGATCACCAGTGTATCTCACACACATATTTGGTACTCAATCTATTTGTTGAATGAATGCATTGATTGATTAGCTCATTAACCAGCCTAACAAACCATCAAACCATCTAAGTTCTTGTTTTAATCTCATGCTCATTAAGTGACCTCAACAACCATCTCTGGTCAACTTTAGAGTTGTATTTCTCGTGTTCCAATAATTGCCACTTTTATACATCAGCCTTTTGTGAGCTTTGCCAATGGGAGCTGGCCATGAAGCACAGCTCTGAAACAGAGATTATTGCGGAGAGCAGATTCTGGGTATACCAAAGGCCCCCAACAGAAAGGTCTGTCTGTTTCTTCCCTAGAAGCAGCCGCTGACATCATAGTGAACTCATTTCCATTTTGAACTCTACCTAGAGTAGTCCTATCAAAGCAGGCTTTCAAATAAACACTTGTTGCAGGAATAAAAGACAATAAAAACTCTATGTATGCTCAAGAAATTCACACACAGACGCTGTCTTTTTTAGATATTTATAGAATTCCATTATATCACTTTTCACTTCAAGAGCCCAAAGTTCTGTTTTTGTTGTTGTTGTTGTTGTTTTAATTAATATGGGAAGGAAAAACAGTTTTCCCTCTATACTTCTAGGATCTTGGCTGAAACCCTCTCCACCCCATTAATAAAAGATAGATTAAAAGGAGAAAAAGAAACATAAATGTGATAAAAATGTCTAACTTCTGTATACAAGGGAGAGATTCCCAGGAAAAAGGAGTAACTCCTCCAAATGGCCCAACCCATCACCTTAATACTACCTCAATCTAAAGACAAAAGCAGATGTTGGTGAGTAGGGGTAGGGAGCCAGGTACAGGGGTGACCAGGAAAAGCACAGTAAACAGAGTAAGGATGCTATGCAGGTGGAAGTCATTGCCTTGCTCATGGATGCAAGTTTCTAGAGATTTGGTCATCCTTCTCTTTCCTTACAAATGAAGGTACCCCTTCTATCTTTTACAAACAGGTAACTTTCCTTGCTTCCAGAGCTTCTGAGCCTTAAAAATAATCAGCCTAAAATAATCCTTATGACAAAGAAGCATATTCTAGGGCAACAAATTCTGGTGCCCTTCTGATATCAATTGTTCCTAATCCTAGTGGGTTCTACCATCCTGCTG